CCCCCCCCACCCTCCCGCCGACCCCACCCTCTCCCCCTCTCCGGTTGGTCGGCATGCTCCAGTTGCCGAGAGGGCCATTCGGACTTTGAAGGAAAACGCAAACACGTGGTGCGCTGGACTCGAGCAGGTTGGATTGGAGCCGTGAGTGGTATGTCGCATTGCGCCCAGGTGCACAATCGCTACAACATTCAGCCAGGATCGGCAATGTCGCCCGAGCAGCGCTGTTTGAAGACGTTGAGACAGCCTCGAGCAGTGTATGTTTGGGTGCGTCGGTTCTTGCAACACCACCGCCGAGTTTAAGACAGTTGGTCACTGGGAGATGCGGGCAGGCGCGTACTTAAGTCCTGAGGTTGCGTGCGGGAGCCATCTTGTGCAGTTCAAGTTGAGGGATGGTTCGTTGAGGATAGCGGATAGCCAGAGCAGCCCGAATCAGGATGTTGATCCCCATGATTTTTGTTGAGTTGTCAGCTTTGCGTGGCTTGTGTCGTATGTTGCCTGAGCGTGCTGGCGATGTTGTGCGTAGCTTACCAGCAGCTGGAAGGGAGAACATGCGTGATCTTCCGATCCCAAGTACAGAAACCCGAGGACCTCCAGCGTCTTGTCGAGCTTGTCGCTTGAGAGGTGTCCCCGCGGACAGGCCTGGCGTACCCAGAAGTGTCGCGAGAGGTACGCGGAGTACGTGAAGAGCTCTTTTGATCCGATGTGCTTGATGATGCGCAGCATGAGCTGGAGATTGAAGGAGCGCAACAGGATCTTGGTTCGCGTCCTTTTGGTGAGCTTGATGATGTCGGTTTGCAGTTGCCTGATGATGTGCAGGATACTTGAGGGCGAGCTTCATCCTTCGAGTCCCGTTGAGATTGCTCCTGCAGGTGCGGGAGAGGCCGATTTCATGGACGTTGAGCCGGAAAGCCTGGATCGAGTGCCTGAACCAGAGAGTGATGCCATGATCAACAACATCTTGTACCGCTGGCGAGTATCAGATTGACCCTTTGTTGATTCCCTCGCCATTGCCATCTAGGGCATCACCGCCAGGACAGGCTGGGTCGACCGGGAGGGTGGCGGGACCTACCAGCAGCTTTCCATTCCACCATTTCAGGTGTAGTTGAGCCGCCCGTGAGTGTGTCAGCACAAGGTAGGTTTTGGGTTCCAGCACGGCTCAACCGGCGGCAGCTGTGTCAGGTTCAGCTACAGGTGCGCCCGCGACAGGAATGAACCTGTCGCCAACGCCGTGCCAGGCATAAGTGTGCCAGCTCTAAGCAGTGCACCGCCTGCCGGAAGGCCTGGCGCCTTGCAAGCAGCAGGCGCCGATTCATCAGGCGTGTGCAAATGTGTGCAGCACAACGCCGGCCGGAAGGCCTGGTGCAATGCAAGGTGCCCAGGTCCAATGTCCCGATCCAGCATCCATGCTGGCAGGACTCCAAGGTGCACAGGTCCAAGGTGCACAGGCGCAAGGTGCCCAGGTCCAAGGTCCCAATCCAGCCGCTGGCAGACGCTTAGGCGCCGCTCAATCGGTCTCAAGCGTGTTGTCAGGTTTGTGACTGGCATGAAGCAGCTCCAAGACGTACTGATAAAGCATTGAGGTAGTCCCGCTGTTCACCCTTGACCACTTACCCGAAATCAACTCTTCAGGGATGTTTGGCTTCACACTCAAACGCTCGATGGGGCTTGCCGTTGCGAACCTTGCATACACCTTTTCCGCCTCATGCACAACCTTTGGCCACCAAAGATCGAAGTAGCGCTCAAATCATGATGGGGGCTTTCAGCAAGGTAACCCAGTCCTGAAAATCAATGGGCGATGAGTTCGCTTTTAGCAGCGAATGAGGACGACGTGCGTACAAAAAACTTTGACCCTGAAAAAGCTTCAAACACCAACTCGATGCGCAGAGCCCCAGGCAGCCGCTGAGGAACTCAGGTCTTGGGAACGTTGGAAGAATCGCGCAGAGGTCCTCGGTCTGCTGACGCCTCCTGACCCAACAGTGCTAGTCAAGGCCTTGTCAGGAATCACTTCAGGGATTTTGGAGAAGAGTCAACCCGGCTTGGGCTTGCTGAACGACCGTGGTAGAGGTGGATACCTCCATCTGCATTTGCACTGGCGGCTGTCCCGCCTCCGTAGCTCCATATGACTGGCTCAAGGCTGTGTTAAGCTGCGATCGCGGAGAAGTCATCTGCGCTCCCGTCCCCGGCGGCGCTAGATTGGACCTAACGCTCTGAAGCAAATCCTCATGCCTTTGACCTGATGCAACGAATCTTTGATTGTCCTCAGGCTCTTGCGCAGGACCTACCCCTCCGGGTGGTGGAGTGCCATTGACCATGCCCGCACTCATAGCCGGAACAAGGTCATGACATGATGACCATCCACATCTGCACTGGCCTCTGGAAGCGGAGCACCAACACGCTCGGTTGGGTTCACAACCTGAAGAGCCGTGGGATCGGACTCTCCGCGTGTTGAGGCACTACGTCTTCTGAACATGTCATCCATGGCAGAGCTCAACCCTGGGACTTTTCCTACACCGCACGACAAGAAAGTCATGTGAAGTTTGTTGCGCTATAGGAGTTGCTACTTTGCTACATCCTACTGTTATGCTGCATGTGTTACGTGGGCCTTGGGCCTCAAACACAACAAAGGAAAACAACATGACTGAATGTTACAGACGTGACTGACGTGGGAGGGTGGTTTTCTACACTTCTCCAAGGTTTCGCACAGCAAACAGGTCCAGACTGGAGGGGGCGGTGAAGGAAAGGACCGAGGGCTTCAATCTTAGACTTGTGATGTCAAACGACGGTGTCAACATGCAATGTTTTCATTGTCGAAGCAGCAACTCCTTGCTTTGTTTGAAGCCAAGGCCCAACCACGATTGCTCTCAGACAAGGATTGAGTTTTGATTGAACTGCAACATCGAAAACGCCAGAAACATCTCAGAACCAACGCGTTAGTTTTGAGATGCAGCTCTTCGCGGAGTAATAATGTTGTCAGGAAATCCTTCCCAGTGAATTTCCCAGCAGGCTTGGCTGTTTGTATGTAGAACTTGTTTCACATCCGAGAAAGGTGTGAGGCTTGCTTTGCCTTTCCGTAGCAGCCCCATTTGTACATACAGATTCCGCTTCTGTGTAAGCAGTTCTTCATCGGAATCTTGGGCAGCCGAAGTTAATTGCGGGATCTTCATCAGGTGGAGTCCCCAGGTGGAGTCTCATGTCCTGATGGCCGAGAACTCCATAGGAAATTTCTGTGGAGTTATCACGACTCTCAAGCAGACAGAGCAACTACGATCTTCCCTTCAAGGAAACAATGGGTGCGCATGGGGCAAAAGCAGCCTTATTTACAAACGCAGTAATTTCCTAGATCTCTGCAAAGAAGGTATGCTTAAACCGAAACGTGAAAAGACTAACTTCACTTATTTACGTGTTGAGATTAAGCATAATCTCAATAGTTAAGCTGTTAGATCTGTGGATTTACTTAATTAGGTAAAGTAGTTCGGTAATCCATTTCCTTTATTGAAGTAATTTTGGCCAGGGAAATTCAAGAAAAATAGCAAATCTCGGAACGGCAAACGAAACTATGTATGTTAAGGGCTGCTGGGGGCATTGAGCTGTAGACTAAAGGCGTCAGGGGAATCGGAAAAGGGCAAGGGTAAGGGGGGGCAAGCAAAGGGGTCGGCGGTTAAGGGGTGTGGGGGGAAGCACATGGGTTCTGAAAAAGGGCGGTGGGGGCGGTGGGGGGCGGAAGCCAGCGAGCCCCCCCAGCGCAGCTTCAAACCCCCACCACTTCCCACCGCCCCAACGAGCACGAAGGGAGGGGACATGCGACAAACCTGTAGTGCCCTCTCCAAGCCCTACAAACACGGGGAGGATGAAGGGAGGGGACATGTGACAGTCCTTTTGGGCCCTAACTAAACCCACGAACACGAAGGGAGGGGACATGCGACAAACCTCCACCCCTCACCAAACCTTACAACCACGAAGGGAGGTGACAAACCTCTAAACCCTCACCAATCCCTACGAACACCCCTCTCGACCCCCCACCCCATAAGCGCAGGGTCGAGGGCCCCCAGAGGTTTGTCGCATGACCCCTCCCTTCGTGCTCGTAGGGTTTGGCGAAGGCATCGAAGGCTCTAGAGGGAAAAGAGTTGGGGCGGGGGGGCATGGGAGAGAGCAGGAAGTGCCCTTTCAAATCCATGTCAGCCTGCAAAACAGTGGGCAAGAACTGGGGACTACGGGCAAGGGGAGGCCAGGGCGGGGGGCTGCGGCGTGGGCGGTGCGGGCATGGGCGGTGCGGGCAGTATGGGCGGTGGTTGAGGGTGGGGCAATGCGACAAACCTCATGGGCATTCACCAAACCCAGCGAGCACGAAGGAGGAGACAAGCACCCTAATCCTATGAGCATGAAGGGAGGACACATGCGACCCCCTACCTTCAACCCCCAGCCCTTCCCCTTAGCCCTACTATACCCTACCACGCCCTTCCTACCCCCATATGACTGTTTTCTTATGGCTCCCAGCGCAGACCCACCCCCCTTTTCCCTCAACCAGCCCTCGGCGGCACTGGCGGCAAGTGCCGCCGACCCAGTTGGGAAGCCAACGTCCGGGTCCAAACAAGTGCAATATTGATCGTGAACAGCGCGCTAGACCCCACCTAGTTTCGGCTCCTGGACGCATCTTTTGGTACGTCCACGTGGGTCCAAATAGCGACCCCATCGCGCATCGTTTTAATGTTCGCTTACAACGATACCCCGACATTTTTTGGGTGCAGAAAACACCGTAGATCTGTGGTTTTCGCTTGCTTATTGACATACCCGTGTTGAATCGCAGATCATTTCCGTGAGGAAGATTAGCTCAGTAGCTACATTGATTCATAATCAAAACTTTCTAAGTTAATAAGATTGAAGGCCGAAGAGAGCCGAGGAGCTTGAGCAAGCGAAAGCATTGTGTCTGCTGCGCAAACAGAACGTGGAAGTACATGTTGTTTGCCCAACCTACGTGTCTTGGCTTTGGTTTCCCAACCTACATGTCTCAGTTGGGCAAGCCAGTTGTTTTGGTGAACGTGCTTTTCCTCGTGGTGGTTCTGGTCGCGTTATTGGGTGCGCTTCCTGTCCTTATGGTTGTGCTTGCGTGGCTCTTTGGCAGACTTTTTTTGTTCGGTTTGGTGGCCCATCTTATTGACCGAATTTTTTTCCCCACGTCTTCGGTGGGCAGGCCGGGCTTGCAGTTGTGTTACAGCTTTTTGGCGGGGCGCTGCAGGGATCTTGTGGCGCTCTGTTTCGGATATTCTGACACGATTGTTGCGTTGCCCGGCCATGTTGTCAAACAGGTTCAAGCTGAAAGTTACGTAAGGAACAACGCGCATTGACCTTTCCCCTTCGTTCCAAAATTAGGCCAACGTCACTTGAACAGGTCGCAACCTTGTGGTAGTTGGTAGCATGGCCGTCCCTGGCCCAGGCATGCCGTGAGCTGCAACGTGGAATGCGTTGATCGCATGGTAATGACATTGTTGTGTGCGGTCGAAGAAGAGGATGACACAATAAAGACTTAGAAAACGCGCAACATGTACATCAGAAACGTTCTGCTCACCTTTGCGGAAGCCCCTCGCCAAACACACGCCAGTTCACACTAATGTTGTTTCAGGCGTACTTTTCGGTGTGAGATTTCTGGTGGCGCAAGCGCAGCAAGCTTATGCGGAGGAGGAGGCATCGGCGAGAGTTTGCTTGGTTCAGCGGACAAAGTGTCTACAAGCCATGTTTGAGCAAATTTGGCAGTCGCTCGTCGTGAACCTCACAGACAGCAACTTCCAGGCCCGGCTGTCATGTCATGCAAGTGACAAGCGTCACCATGAAAACCAATATATTACAATGTTTGAAGGAACTTGTGGCCCGCGGCGAAAGTAGGCGTGGCGGCCAAGCCGGGTTGTTTGTTGCAGCAAAGCTGTGTGTAATCAAATCAGCATCAGATGCATTTTTGATTGCATGGACATGATTCAGTCAACTGAGGCTGTGGGTGGTGAAGTTCTACGCGTGCGATACCTATGGGGATGACGAGCATGTGTGAAGCAGCAACAACCATATAGTTTCGTAATGTTTCGGACGTACAGCCTTTCATGTTCGACTAATTACTCACGGATGGCGTCATCATTCTGATTCAAAAACTTCGACACCATTGCAAGGTCCGTTCTTGCTGACGCCCGAGAGTAAAATTTGCCACCACATGACAATGTTGCTGCTGCGTCGGTGGCGTCGGCCAGACATTGCAATGTTGATTGCAGATGCTGGCCGCCACCTGGGAGCAGCTCGCAAAAAAGTTGGATGGCGGCAGCCTCGGCCCACAGGACGACCAAGTTCCTTTTTCATTTCGCAAGACCAAGGTCAAGTCAACGTGGCGAAGGTGGATTGCGCAGAGGCAACGTGCAATGTTTTTCGCTGTGCCGACGGCTGTGGGAACATGTTTGGCGTGGCCAGTCGCAATTCGTGGCGAACATGTTTGACGTGCATGGCTACCCGACCCTGAAGCTGATTTCGCAGGCAGGGTGTGCCATGTTTGCATCAGCATGTCATTGTGTGCCGCCAGCATTTGGCGCTGTCACAATGTGACCGGCCGAAGTTAGACAGCATTCCCTCATTTTTGTTGGGTTTGTAATTCTTTGTTTCCTCTTTGGCGGCTGCTGGCAAATCTATGCCCATCGCCGGCTTTGCTTTGTAAGGTATGGCTTTTCTGGACGCAGAAGCTTTGCCCTCGGACATGTGTCAGTCCGCGATTTTACGCAACAGATCAGAACAAAATATTTTGATTGCGCACCGTACCATTCAGATATATTCAGATCAGGCACTCACAAGTCAACGGCCGTGTGCCCATGTTAATAATTTGTGCATTCTAATTAGACCCGAATCTCTATACACCCTAGACACCATTCCTATCGACCTTCTAAACCTGCAAGGTTTGGAGAGTTTCGAGCCATGGGCTCTACAAGGCTGGGTCGTGTTCAGGAGTGCAAACAATGGTTCTGCTAGTTAGTTTCTCGCGCCGCGTGAAGATTTCAGATTCAATGTCCAAGTTTCATGCAAGTAGCTGGCTGCATGTGCGGATCTGATTCGTGGACATTTGTTGTGCTGGTCGGACATCTTTTCTTTTTCTCCGAACAAGCTCAGCCCGCATCCCAGTGAGCTTGGCAAGTCGAAATGCCACCCGCCCAATTTTCAAAACCATGCTTTGCACACAGGAAAAACTCACAACTTGAAACATTTCAATCAAATGCGGTAGCTTCAGATCATTTCAGATCCAAGCATTTGCCCTCTTATTTTTTTATGACGACAGGCAAATCCCTGGTCGCAGTTTCAAGCATCCAATCAATCGCAAGCGGCTCAATACACTTGGTTTTCAGACAGGGTGTATGAACATCGGTGTTTTGATCATCCCGTGGCCAATTTTGCGCGCTTTTTCTGGCATGTTCCGAGCAATCGGCTCAGGGTTGGCTTTATCGAAATGCTGCGTGTGGCGTTTGTGGTTTCGCCTTTCTTTTGGATCGTCTTTACTCCAAAATCTCGGTGGCAGGTCATCAAGGTCAAGACGGGGATGTGTACCCCTTTGACAGGCCGCGTTTGTGATCTTGTGGGGCCATGAGCACTGCGTCACGTTCCAATCACAGGCTTGGTGCTTGAAATCTACAAGTAGCAGGACCAAGTCTGTCCAAGATGCAGGCTATAGTCTCGTGTGTTCAGTGTCAAGCGTGCAAGGGATAAGCCCACGATCGCGACATGTGTGGGAGTTTTTTTTAAAAAGTGTTTTGGGTGGCGAGGCCGCTTTACTACCGAGTCTCCATGGTCCGTGCCTCGGAGACTCCTGATCCTTGAACTGGTTGCGACAGTTCATTGGGAGAGAAGATGCGCTGCCGTTTTTTTTTTGCACTACGCTCGAGAAATTGCATCCGTTTGTTCGTGCGGGTTGCTTTGCTCTTGCGCCAAGTCTGTGGCCACAGTGCTCGCAAAGTATGGGCCGGGCCCCAAGGGCGAGGAGAAGAGTTGAGTTTAAAATCTAACAACCCCACACCGAGGGTGGGGAACAACAGAGGGCTCTGCATGGCTCTTTAGCGCTTGGTTTTCGAAGGTTCTTAGGGTGGAAATCAAAGGAAAATTGACAGGCTTGCAAAACCATAAGCCCTAGAGACCGTCCCAAACTGGCCCTCAGGCCTTCAAACCATCGAAATTTCCAAGGTCCACCATCTCCCCTATGATTCGTTCAGTGCCAGCAGCCACTGCAGCAAGGAGAAGCTCTTCGAGGCTGGGTTGGGGTTGTGGCCGACAGGGATTCAGGTCTTTGGGTCTATATCAGTTTAGGGTTGAGGGTTGAGGATTTGTGAAAGACGCAGGGTAAACTGGGCTGTCGGCAGTTCAGGGCTTATGCTTGGTGCTTTGTCCTTGTTTTTGCTCGCCGAAGCCTCGATCCAAACTTCCTGCCGCCTCCCCACTAGAACCCTGAGCCCAGACTCCGATAAGATGGATATAGTAATATAGTCCATTGCTCTCCCACATTTTCAACCAACCCTCTAGAAACTGCTCCCAGGACTTCATCTTCACATGCGTATCATGGCGTGGCGCTTTTGCACAAGAAGCCACGCCCTTCTACAGTAGTTGTGAAAAACGAAGAAAGCAAGCAAACGCGCGTGCCCACACCTGTGCCCGCACCTGCACGCGCACGTGCACGCGGACGCGCACACGCCCGCTCGCATGCGCAGGCACGCGCCCGTACTCATGCGACTGCAGGCAAGCGCCGGTGCGCACGCACCCGCACGCACACCACCCTGCGCGCACGCAAGCACACACGCACAGACAACGCTGTCCACGCACAGACAGCACTGTCCCTGAAGATGCCCTATGTAACCCATGCCTGAAAGCCCCAGAAAGCTGGCCTTCACAGTTTGAGCTTGGGTTGCAGGAAGCGCTGTTTGGCCACATCAGCAGAGCCCTCAGCAAACTATCCAAGCTCCGTCTCCAACCCCAGGCCCAAACCCCAAACCTCATGGTCTACAAACGAGGGGCGTTGGTTGTTCTTTGGAACTTGAGGCCTCGAAGCCCGGTGGGTGGAGGGTGGGAGTGCTCTCGGAGTCTTTTCGTTGGGAATGCGCTCTTTGAATGCTCAATCTTACGGAGTCTTACGGAGTCTTACACTGTCTTACACTTTACACTGTCTTACACTGTCTGGGGAATCTACGTCGGCAAAGTTTTCGAGATGGACTGAGTTTTTTGGTAGAAGAGACGTGGACATGAGTTTGCATGAACAACTTGGCTGGACATTCTGAGGAACCTCCCAGCATCCAAGCCTGTTTCAGCCCGCCGATCGCTGCAAGGAGCCGCCATGTTCGGCTTCGACCTGCGCAATGTTGGAGACGTCCAGGACAATTGTTCACCAGACTGGCCCAAGCTGTAACACAAGCCAAGCTCCTCTGTAGACTCTATACAAGGCAGCGTGGGTCTTGTCTGGGATTGCCGGGGGCCACCACTTAGTCCGCAGGCCTTCGAGTCCTTTCGGAAGGAGTGGTGCGTCGGCAGGCCACAGCAGACAGTTGCAATGCCTTCCGCTGGGATGCATCGGACGTGAGTTGTAAGCCGTAAGCATCAGCTCATGGTCGGCTCGCCAGCACCAGGTACGGTGACGAGCACACTTGGCTTTGCTAGGTGGGCTATCCCAGGCCCTGTTCTTGCAGTGTGTGCAGGTTGGGACATCTGGTTCCATCACGTCCTCATCAAGCCAGCTGCGAGCTTGGCATTGGGTGCCTATAGCTGTCAGTGCAAAATAAAGAGAGACCAAAAAAAACAATGCGTCGCCCTCATATGTAGTGGTTGGCTTAGTGATTCTTGGTTTCATCCTGTTGCCTGTGCCGCCCTCAGAAGTAGTGGTCGGGACAGCCATTCTTTCTTGGTCTTTTCAGAGGTCGAAGTTGTACTGTGCAACAACGGAACATGTGAATCTTGGCATAGGCAGGTCTCCGCCACTCAATTCTTCAGTCGCTCTAGCATGTCCCTCCCTCTCGTTCCAGGGATTTCCTGGGTAATGGGTAATACGTCCTGGCCATTGTGTCGCACGAAACCCTGGAGCCTGCGTGGTGTCCGGGCAATGTGTTGACCCAGTGGTCCTCGATTCATTCCTTCCCCGCCCCTTCAGTCCTGGCCATTGTGTCGCACGAAACCCTGGAGCCTGCGTGGTGTCCGGGCAAGGTGTTGACCCAGTGGTCCTCGATTCTTTCCTTCCCCGCCCCTTCAGTCCTGGCCATTGTGTCGCACGAAACCCTGGAGCCTGCGTGGTGTCCGGGCAAGGTGTTGACCCAATGGTCCTCGATTCATTCCTTCCCCGCCCCTTCAGTCCTGGCCATTGTGTCGCACGAAACCCTGGAGCCTGCGTGGTGTCCGGGCAAGGTGTTGACCCAGCGGTCCTCGATTCATTCCTTCCCTGCCCCTTCAGTCCTGGCCATTGTGTCGCACGAAACCCTGGAGCCTGCGTGGTGTCCGGGCAAGGTGTTGACCCAGTGGTCCTCGATTCTGTCCTTCCCCGCCCCTTCAGTCCTGGCCATTGTGTTGCACGAAACCCTGGAGCCTGCATGGTGTCCGGGCAAGGTGTTGACCCAGTGGTCCTCGATTCTTTCCTTCCCCGCCCCTTCAGTCCTGGCCATTGTGTTGCACGAAACCCAGGAGCCTGCGTGGTGTCCGGGCAAGGTGTTGACCCAGTGGTCCTCGATTCATTCCTTCCCCGCCTCTTCAGTCCTGGCCATTGTGTCGCACGAAACCCTGGAGCCTGCGTGGTGTCCGGGCAAGGTGTTGACCCAGTGGTCCTCGATTCATTCCTTCCCCGCCCCTTCAGTCCTGGCCATTGTGTCGCACGAAACCCTGGAGCCTGCGTGGTGTCCGGGCAAGGTGTTGACCCAGCGGTCCTCGATTCTTTCCTTCCCCGCCCCTTCAGTCCTGGCCATTGTGTCGCACGAAACCCTGGAGCCTGCGTGGTGTCCGGGCAAGGTGTTGACCCAGTGATCCTCGATTCTTTCCTTCCCCGCCCCTTCAGTCCTGGCCATTGTGTCGCACGAAACCCTGGAGCCTGCGTGGTATCCGGGCAAGGTGTTGACCCAGTGGTCCTCGATTCATTCCTTCCCCGCCCCTTCAGTCCGGCCATGCTGTTGCGAAGTCTGAGAGAGGTTTTGAGGTCACATGTTGCCTGCAACTTTTTGTACGGGAACAGAGCGGAGTCTTTGGCAATTTGATTGAGACTTAGCAGACCATCTGACTCCCCGGGGTCTGAGGTCCCTTTTCGGAGTCCCACGCGACACACAGCTTCTTTGCGTATTGCACTCCGGGAATCTTCATGGATTGCTGACTCCCAAAATGCAGCATGAGCTGTATTGATACGGAAGGTAAAGGCCATCGTCGCGTTACCCGAGTGATGTCTCGTGATTTCCAAGCATGAAAGCACTGGCAGGCACGTGACTGTTGAAACTTGTGTGTCAGGGGTGCCAAGGGAAGGGCGGAGGGGGTGGAACAGGCCCTTTGCTTGATCGCAAGCCGTGGTCGGCTCTCTTTCTCAGCCCTCAGTCTTGTTAATTTAGATAATTAATTGTCTTAATGAAGCAATGTAGCTAATCAGCTAATCTAATCTGCGGCTTCGGGTCTGTCCATAAGCACGCGAAAACCACAGTGTCTACGGTGTTTTCCGCATTCTTCCCCTAACAGGAACCGTTTCGGGTCCTCTCCTCAGAAAACATTGTGTCACGCACCTACGCGGTTGGGTCCGTGATCTTCCATGGTTTCCGATCATGAGCGCAATTGGGGCTGCGTGGGTGTAACGCGGTTTGGGTCCGTGGTCTCCCATGGTCTCCCATGGTCTCCGATCATGAGCGCAATTGGGGCCAGTGGGTGTCACGTGGTTTGCTGTGGTCTCCCACGGTCCGGATCCGGCCAACATGCCGGTGTCGAGCCCAACTTAAAACCCGGATCCGGCCAACGTGCCCCTGATGAGCCCAACTTGAAACCCGGATCCGGCCAACGTGCCCCTGATGGGCTGATGAGCCCAACGAGAAACCCGGACACGGCCAACATGCCCCTGTGGGCCCAACTTGACACCCGGATCCGGCCAACATGCCCCGGTCGCGCCCAACTTGAAACCACAGGCCCTTGATGAACCCAACTTGAAACCCGGCTCCGGCCAACATGCCCCTTTTGGGCCCGACTTGAAACCCGGATCCGGCCAACATGCCGCTGTCGATCCCAACTTGAAACCCGGACCCGGCCAACAGCCGGCAACATGCCCTTTACGATGAACCCCAAAATCCTGTGCTGGTAACGTAATCGTCGCTCTATAAGGGTTGTGAATATGCCCCTGCGACCAGTAAAACACGTTCCCTAAAAGAGGTGTTTAAGTACACTGAGATGTTTATCCCTATGCTGGTAACGTACTCCTGGCTCCATGAGGGTTGTGAATATGCCCCTACGACCAGCCCTGAAAACTTGTGTTTTCACATGTTAAATGTTTCACCTGCGACCAATTAGCTCGGGCCATATTTGGTCATCAGCGCGCAAAAGGGGTGCTTGCGAGCGCGAAGCGAAACCT